GGGTATTTGAATAGAATAAACTTCAATAAATCCCGGTTATCAAATTTAAAAAACAACAAAAAAATACTTGCCTTATATTTTTCATGAAACATCAAAAAATAATATATTTAAATTTTAACGAATTCGAGACAGCAAGTAAGATTTATTATGTTGAGCGGTTCATATCGTAACTGGCAGATAAAATTTTTTTACGGTGCGATGCGTTAAAATGACTAACTCACGGAAAAGAGTTTCAGATGTGTATTGTATGGCGCATCCTATCACTGACTATATTATGTGTTCACCTGTACGACAACTGCACGCTTTTCCATGTCAAGTGCATTCATAATTTATAATTTCTTTTTGTTATTTTCGTAGAATATAATATATCAAGAGGTCCCATCCCTTATTTACTGTACTCGCCAACCCTTTAAAATACTTTTGTAGTTTCTTTGGATGGTTCCAGCTTGCTACGCTTGCTCATTGGATACTTAAGCATTTTTGTTTAGGCGTTGCTGTTGCTTATCCTCTTAATCTGACAAATGCCAAATAAGCTCCAGGACACCACTGACCGTCAGACAATCTGCAACAAGAGGAGGATCTGGTGTAAGATTCACCTTAAGGTCTGGTTTCTTAGGACAAGCGCCTTATCTGGGCGTCAGCGGGACGCCAACAAAATACTGGTTTGTTAGCTCAAGGCCTGGTTTCTTAGAACTAGCGACTTATCTGGGCATCAGCGGAAAGGCACACCTGCCAACTCTTCCGGATTTTCCGGAAGATTTTATTTTCATATTTAAAATGGTAGTAATTATATACTATTTTTTCTATTATAAACTTAATTTTTAANATCTGTCCAAAGCAGTCTGGGTTTTTCGGTTGCATTTTATGTCCAGCATGGTACCAAGGGATGTCCTATGATACCAATGGTGTGTAGATGGCATGCGCTACAACAGATGAAACTTGGATCGTTTGCGCTGGGTAATTAGTGGGACTCTTTTTAAAATGAGGTTCTAAAAATGTACAACTGATACGTCTGGTGAAATTTTAATGCTTCATTCCATTTATGTACTTAACTATTTGAAAGACATGCATTTCAATAATACTTTTAACTCACATTTGAAACAAATGATTCATAGAATTACCATTTATACATAATTGTAAATTTCAGTGTTTGTACACACGACAGTTTTAAGTCCTTTATTCAAACGTAAACTTGTAAAATGTTTAAAAATAAAATTATAAGAATAAGAAAATAAGTTAGGCATATTTGGCTGATCGTTGATAAAACGCATGCCTTTCTCATGAAGCATTATGAAAATTGAAGCATTATGAAAATTAAAATATAACTTGAAACTATTATTACTAAACCTGACTAAATTGATAAGCATAATTAAAACAAAAATATTTAGATGAACTGATCACTTTTAACCTTTCTTCTCTTCCCTAACTAATAGCTCAATTTATTTTAGAACTTCCCACGCGAGAAATTAGGTCATTCATTTATAAATTCGTTAATGCATACATTTATGTGTTCATGCTTTTGACAACACTCTCACTTAACGTTTCAGTTCTTTGGTAGTACTCTTAATACTACAATACAAACACACTGAAGTCTCTGGGTGTGAGATCAAGACAGTATGACGGATAATCAAGATGCTTCTCACCAAGAGTTGCAATATGGGTTTGTGCTGCCGAGTGTGGTCTGTTGTTGCTATCCAACAACAGAGCGTCAAACGTCGGAAGGCCATGCCGCTTTTACCGAATAGCCTCTTTCATATTTGATAAAGTGTAACAGTACTGCGCATCAATGATAGTTTCAAACTCCGAAAAGTCTAAAAACAAAATTTCGGTATCAGACTAAGAGTCTAGCATCCACTTTGCGCAGGCACTGTGACCGAATGATGTATTTCAAGCTCAACTGCATTCTTGTCTACTATGTTTCTGTTTTATTTTCTGGAGAAAAAAACCCTAGGATAAACTTATTTTCGCACTTTTCTCCTTATATATATGAGGGGTGCTTTTTTAAGTTAAGGCCGTTTTGTTGCGTACATTAATAAGTGACGCGTGCTTGTGTAGTGCCCCGGCTTTCTTTGGAAACAACTGTGCTCAGTTGCAGCTGTGTAGGTAAACAGTACTGCTGTCACATAACCGGCGTTAGGGCAAAAACCCATGCGGGAGCCTCAGCGAGGAGTAGCAATGCCAGTAGTGAGACTTTAAAGTGTTCAAATTTAACAAATCACTCGACACGCACGAGATACGGTCAGTGAAGAGTTTTTAGTCGGCAAAAAAAACCTGTCTGCTGCATACATTCATAGGCATTTGTGACATTCATATATTTGTGAAGTTGTGATTTTGTGGAGTAGCGAAATTCCCCTGTCATCATGGCAGGGAATTTTCTATGACAATGACTCACTGGCAGCTCAGATCCCAGCTTTTTTAGGTTGGGAAGTCTTGGACCACCCCTTTCAACAGCCTAGACCTTGCGCTGAGTGATTTTCACCGATATTTCAAACATCACTTTGGCTGCAATCACAATAACGATGACGAATGCGTGAAAACGGCCGTGACCTCTTGGTTAACGGAGCAGGCGGCAAGTTTCTATGAAGAGGGTATTCTAAATCTAGTTGTAATATGGGATAAGTGTTTAACAAACTTGGTGGTCTACTGTGGTTTATAACTCTAATTTAATTCCAATTCAAGGGGGCTCTAATTTACACTAATCTGAGCTGCTATGACATTAGAGGAGGACTGCAAGTTTGATTTTTTTTCATGACACTGGGTGAATATTAAAGAGATAATTGATAGATATTTTCCTCAAATCTGCAATTTAAGTATTCATTTTTACAAATGAATATAATACTATTATACGGATAGCAAAATATTTTAAATTTTCAGGCACGATTAGCAAACGGCCTTCATTTTAAAGAATTTTATCTATAATGCATTTTACAAATTCTAGTACCGCAGAACATGTGTGTTAAATCAATGTCTGATATGCCCATGGGATACCTGCAAGTGACGTAGAGTGGATATATCGATCCTGATTGGTTGTTGAAACCTGGTGCTTGTTTACGTTAACAACCGTTATTTCAATACTATTTCGAGTGAGCCAGGCCAATCGGTATCAATTCTCTTAAGTGACACGTTCTAAATTCTCTCACAAAGATTCTTTCTCAAAGATTTTATTTCTTTCATTATATATTTTACACGGAGACTTAACCCAAAGAATGGCATGAAGCTATGTGGAACTAAATATGCATTGAATTAGCCAGGTATACAAAACAAAAATACATCATGGTTACAATAAAATGCATAAAAAAAATAAGAAATCTAAGTTAAGTAAAATAAGTAGACGAGAAAGAATTATATTTCAACTCATTCGATGCGCGATACGGTTCTGAATTTAATTTAATTATCGATAATTAACATTCTAACTAATTAACATTCCAACTTTAATACGTCATTTTGGTGATAAAGATAAACTGGCGCTGACGTCATAGGTCACATGTGTGGGTATGGGAGGTCTTCTTCTTGAAGTGCAAGTGCCCAGTTGTATATCTACAATTTCAATCTCTCTCTCTAAAAGCTTTACAACCGATTTCTATTTTTAAAAAAAAAAACAGTTCAAAAAGTAAGTGCATGACTACCAACTACTGCCTTTGTCAAATATTTCATAGAGTGATAGGCAATTAGAAACTGAAGTTTCCAGAATTTTGTTGTAATTTTGTCAGCATTTTAATTGCCTCTAAGCGAGAGTGCTGAAATAAAGCGGCGTTTGAATCATTTGAGTGTAGTAGTGTAGAAAATGAATAAGAGAAAGCAGAAAATAAAATAACCAAATAAAGACTCATAAAACAACGAACCATACATTGAAACCTAAACTTAGCTACCTTTAGAAGAAGTTTTGTGAAAAAACGTAGAAAGTTGGCAACCAGGGAGTAGGTGTACAACTTGTTTTTAAGGAATGCCCTAGTAAATATCCTAAAAGCATCCGTTTCGCTTTGAAAAATTGAGAACTTAATTTCTGGATGTCTTTTTTGTATGGTTATAAATTTGATTAATATCTCGCTGAAAGAAAATTGACATTTTACTGACATTTTTAGAAAACAAAACTACTTAATTTCAAAATGTATGGTAACATTCTAAAGAATGGCAAATGTAAGAATTATTAAAGGCCTAAAGATATAGGTTTTTTCGATGCAGAAGCTTGAAATCATTTTCTAAATATCAATTGTATTCTAATAATGTTAGTCACTTTTTTGTTGAAAATACTCGACATTCACCTTTGCAAAAAAAAATATAGCTCGACGTATAGCTCGAGTAAGACACATTTTCAAGAACTATTTGAGTATCTGTAAAGGGAGGTTTCACGATGTGAAATTAATGTATTGAGTGTCAACTGTATAATTTCAGTTTTCGTAACGTCAGAAAAATTCCAAGATAAGGAATTAATAAAATAAGGAAAAATAAGGAGTTAAAATAGGGAGGAATAAGGAGAGGAAAAATAAGGAGTTAATTTTCTGTGTTGTACTTTTTACATAATAGTTTTTATTTATTTATTTATTTTTATTTATTTATTTTTAAAACTTGCGTTGAGTAGCCGACCCATTTTGAGAGGGGGTTTACGAATATCAATCATCCTCGTAACCTTGTATTTTTGAACCCAAACCCTAAGACAAGAGAACTCCGGGATCCAGCTTTGAGACAAACTAGGTTTCGTGGAGGGCTTTTTGATGGACCTCATTTACGTAATATAGAGGAAAATCATGAAAACCTCCCACGGTTAGTTCGGCGACGAAGGGATTTTAACCCCCTCTCCCTCTGAAGATATTTTACGTAAGCACTGTGGTCGATTCAAGTCAGGAGTAAAATTCGTATGGACTATAGCCATCGCTGGAATTCGAAATTGGGGTCACCTCAATTAGGAAGCGTCCCTTGAGCCACAGAAATTAAGCATTAAAACTATACCTCATATTAAAAATATTTTTTGAATATGTTTATTTATTTATTTTTCATTTCAGGTATGAGTACTGCGCATGAAGTGATCGCTGCTAAACACTGTGGTTTAAGAGTGTTTGGGTTATCTCTTATAACGAATGAGTGCGTAATGGACTATGACGTGCAAAGATCAGCCAATCACGCAGAAGTCTTAGATACCAGCAATCGTAGGAAAGCGGATCTGGAAAAACTAATCACTAATTTGGTATCACAAATTACTCATTAATTAGCCCAATATCTCCATTGAAAAGTTTCTACATTGAAAAGTATGCCTGCCGTAACGTGATTACAAAAACAGTCTTGTCTGACGTCATTGTTACATATTTTTCACTGAGCAAAAATATCACCTGCAAAAAAACTTGGCTGTCAAGATTCGATTCTCTGTCACGGTGATAAAGTTTCCAAGTGACGATAAATGCATAAAACAATTTAGTGTAAGTCAAAACTTTATCTGATATCACGTCATTTTTCATGAAATGATAATAATAAAAAAAAAACTTCTACTAAATTATTGCTAATTTATCGTCATTTCTGCATATTTTTCCCTGAAGGAACTTATCGCCCTCATGTATAATTTAACTGCCAAAATACAATTCTCTGTTCTGGTGATAAGTTTCGCCAGGGATAGTGACGTTAAATGCATAAAACATTTTTCAGCGTAAGTCAAAACTTTATCTGACAGCATGTAATTTTTCATGAAATGATAATAATAATAATAATAATAATAGAAAACTTCTACTAAATTATTGCTAATTTGTCGTCATTTTTTTATATTTTTTACTGAAGAAACTTTTCTCCTTGAAAATTTGACTGCCAAAACTTGTTTCCCTGTTCTGGTTATAAGTTTCGCCAGAGAAAGTAACGCAAGATACATAAATTTATTTTAAGTACAAATCAAATATTTATATCTGACAATAAGTACTTTTTACTGTAGAAACTCAAAAGTCTATAAAGATTTTGTTGTATAAAATGTCTGAGAAATTGCATTTAGTTTTATGTAAAGGTATTCTAGATATTATAAATTAATTTTGATTACCTTATTGCTTGTATCAAACATAGAGTAACAATAAATATTTCTACTACATTGTTTATGTTATTGTATTGGTCATATTAATAAGCCAACAAGCGCTCTCACTTCTCTAAAAGATTTTGTAGTGTAAGGCTAAACCTTGCAGAAACTAAGTTGCAAAATATCAAAATGATCACTATGAAAATACCGCGAACTGTAGGCGAAAATAACTGCAAATTATGATTTGCAGATTTTTGGTTGCCTTTGCCAGTTTTTTAAAAGACTCAACACAAATTAAAAGAACACACTGTGCTCATTAAGAGGCGATGTTAAATGCTGTTGCTATAAAATATTTTTTATATAAATATTTAAAAATATTTTAGTGAAACGATGCTTCGATAAAATATTTTTAAAAAAGGAAGATAACTACAAATAAGGATTTCATTAAGAATATTTTACGTCAGCACTGTGTTCGGTTCGAACCGGGTACGAAATTCGTATCGACCAGCCATCGCTGGGATTCGAACCCGGTTTACCTCATTAGAAAGCGAAAGCTCTATCCACTGAGCCACAACGGCAATGGATCAAGCATTGAGACAAACTAGCCTTAGGGGAGGAATTTTTTTATGGAACTAGCCAGAATTTGAGTTAGGAAACATCCCACTGTTAGCAAGGGGACTCTAACACGTCCATTGAGTATATTTGACGTTAACACTAGGGTCGGAGCGAGACGGGAGAAGAATGCGAGTGAACCAATCACCGTTGGTATTCGAACCTGGGGCACCTCACTGAGAGGTGAACGCTCTATCCCCTAAGCCACCGAGGTTCACCAAAATATACTGGCTTGCAGTATTTTACTTTCTTAAAGTTGCTGAACAGCTGACCCAATTTTTGCATGTGCAACTACTAATGTTCAACTCCGTAGCCTTGTCATTTTGATACGCAATCCAGAAGATAAGGGAACTCTTGGATCAATTATTTGGGAATAATTTGCTTTCGTGGGAGACTATACGGTGGATTTAACCCTTATTTGCGCGACAGGGAGAGGAAAACCACAGAGAAAAACCACTCCCATAGATAGCCTGGCGACAAGTGGTCTATCACTGAAGATATTTTACGTCAACACTGTGGTCGGTGCAAGCCGCGTGCGGAATTCGTAATGACCAGCCATCGCTGGGATTCGACCCCGGTTCACCACAATTGAAGGCCCCAGAGCAACCACGGCTCATGGTTCGATATTTGTTAGGCTTCGCAATAATCCTTCTGTTCCGATCCGTTTTCTGTCACACAAGGAATATGTAATCAGATTTATAGTGAATTACAGCTCCCTTTGTTGGTCAGGCAGAGATTCATAACTGTGAAACAGCATTAACATTATGATGAGTTTTCTTTTTTAAAAAAATTCTTCACGCCTTTTAAGATCTTTTTTTTTAACTTATGCTTGTGAAACTTGGTCCATTACCCGGTCAGATGAAAACGTGATTGCTATCTTCGAAAGGAAGATTTTAAGAGTTTTTAATAAAATAATAAAATTTTATATATATATATATATATATATAACCTCTCATGTAATGGATCTGATATCGTTAATTTCAGCAAACGACAACGAATAAAATAGAGGAAGGTAACGTTGTTAGAGTGGATTCAAGTTTTCACTGCCCGACCAAATGGCACACCGAGAAAGGCAGGCCAAATCTAAGAAGGAAGGCAGCCTTTAAAAATACTTCTACCAAGGTTCTAGGTTCCAAGAAATAGAAAACACTAAAGGGAAGACGGTTGGTATGAAAGAAGCTTCTTTAGAAGGCTTAGGCCCACCCTCGGCTGTCGAGCTATCGAAAAAGGATAGAGGGAAACAATATTATCACGTGGGTATTATTTAGGAAAAGTATAAAAGGAAAATTTTGGATAGGAGCTACCAAACTTCAACATCGCATGAAATGATTTTATAGAACTACTAGCTGACCCGGCAAACGATGTTTTGCCATATGAATTATTTCTAGAGTATGAAAATATATCTTATTTATTGTAAATGTGTGCGTATGTGGTATATGAGTGGAAGAGGCATGGAGCGCTGTGAACGATGACGGAATGTGAAAGTAACAACACAAAAAATATTTTTTTTTTAATTTATTGCAACTT